TAAGTAAATATATAACATGTGTATGTATCTTGTGTTGTGATTTTTTGTGTCTTGTGTTATGAAATTATATACCTTACGAGTATAAATTTCATACATCGTCGTTTCGATTTAAGGTCTATAATACTATGTAGACCCTGGTCCATTATATAAATTGCCGTATTATTTTATCAATGTCATGTAATAAATAACAAATGAATAATATTACTTTTAATTGAGAATTTAGGATAAAATAAATCCTTCAATTATCTTAATGATTACCATGTTTTCCGTTCTTGGTTTTGAACATCTTGTGTGGAATAGTTTTCCGAAAACTACAAACGCAATATATAATACATTAATACTCATGGAGGCGAGGTAACTTGACCAAGTTAGCCTGATGGTTACTAAGTCTAACTCATGATCCTTTGCTAACTTAAATTATTATCTCATAATCTTTTATAGACTAAGATCAAAATACAGGTCTAGTGCACATTCTCAAATAATACACCCAAAAAAAAAAAAAAAAAAAAAAAAAAAAAAACTGAAAACTCATGGAGCCTCATAATGTTGACAAATAGTATTACGTGGAAGATTAGAGAAGGAAGTTAAGAACGTTGCTGTCTATCCTTGTTATTCTTACATATGCATTAATATTATTATATATTACTTCTGTTTTATATTGGTTGAAGCTCACTAAACACTTGTGTTTTAAAATAGAAAAGTTGATTAGTAAAGGATTACAAAACTTGCCACCCACAATTGCGTCCGGCAACAAAATGCTCATCTCATCCACCCCAAATGTATACCAAATATTTGGCCATTTTCATTTATCATTTGTCAGAGATCGAAAGCAAATATTTTATCAGATCGCCTCTATAAAAATGTTTCAATAATGACAACCTTGCTGACAAATACAACTTATTTAAATGGGTGAAAAGAAATCTATGGTGAGTCAAATTGTCATGAAATTTAAGAAAATTTGTCGGAATTTTGATTATATATAAATCGTAGTTCAAATAAATATAATTGAATTAATTAAATTGTGAGAATTTGATTAACATGAATACAACACAATAAGATGAGTTTTGAATTTCATGACAATTTGTCATTGATTTGTTGGTTAAGGCTGAAAGGGCAAGTAGTTTCTAATATGAATTGTGACATAAATAGTCAATTGTGGGTTGTAATTGCAAGAGGGATTGAGAGATTAATTGGCTTGTGGGTTTCTTTTTTATGGTGTTGGATTGGCATACCTTATTATTGCAAAAATTAGGAACCATTTATCATGGTCTCAAACTATATTAGGAGAAATGTTTAGAAAAAATTAAACTAGAAATTCAGTGATTACCGTACTAAAGGCCAAATTAAGGGACACCCTAGAGAGGTGCAATTCCATCTTATTGGGACGATATGATAAGAGACATAATTGGAAGTATGTTTGACTAAGCAAATCAATAGAGAGAAAAAAGTACATACGTTACAATTAAATGGCATCATTTTTAATCTACCAACGGATAGTTTACTTACTTTTGTTACTTTTTATCAATAGAGTTAATACTACATGTTTTAGATGCATGTGATTTCAATTTTCACATCAAATGGAACAAATTGACTATGTGTGAATTAAGAATTTCTCGAAATTCGAATTACTTATCCGAGACAAGATTGGAAGTTTCGAATTTATAATCAGAATTGATCAGAGAATTATTTATATTATTGCCGCAAGTTTAGTATGACAGCACGTGAATGAACAGTTGAACACTCTAGTTCCCCAAAGAACCTAACTAAAGTACTCATATCCAAGAAAAAAAACAAATTATATACCTCAACCAAATCTAATGAACATATTAGGAGTGAATACGAAGTAAATCGATCCAAAAGAGGCCAAGAGCCCAAGACAAACCCGGGGTTGAGTCAGCATTGGGCAAATTATTCCGTAAACCGGAATTCACCCTACGAGGTGGATTCGAATAAAAAAATACACAATTTATATATTATATGTCTACTATTTACATACTAAATGTTTACAAATTTTTATATACTAAATATTCACAATTTATATATTGAATGTTCACAATTTACATACTGAATATTTACAAATTACATATTGAATGTTCACAATTTTATATACTAAATGTTTACAATTTACATACTGAATGTTCATAATATATAAATTGTGTATTTTGACCCGTGGCATAACTATTGGTCAACACTGTGGTCGGCTTCGCGAGTTGTAAGGCCGTCCTCGAAGCGAGCTGATCCGAGCCTTGGGGTCGGATTGTGTGGGGCACCCTTTGCAAACTCAGTCGAGGAAGCTAAGACGTGGTCAAATGGGATCGAAACCTGAAGAACATTATTTTTATTGTAATTTAAACAATTTTTTAAAATTAATTTATAAATATTTAAATATCTACTTTTATTAATAATTATTCTTTTATAATTAGATTTGTTTGGATTTAATATTCTTCTTATTAAGTTAAACTTATTATTTAATTTTTCTCTTAAACTCATTTACTTAAAATTCCTTCCTCTTCTACCAGTCAAAATATCGAATGAGCATCTGGTTCGGTCATGGCAACGGTTTGCAGAACTCCGATCGGCTATGAGCAGCGCATGACTTGGGAAAATAGTTTACAAACATTATAATTTTAACAAAAAAAAAACACTATTAATAATTACAAAAATATAAAAAATAATAATAATTTAGGAGAATCGTGATGAAATGTGATTTTACCGATTATCATTATGGCAACAAAAAGTTTATGTCACCCAAAACGCGATGGAATCACGACAGTAATTAGTTCAGTTTTTTTTGTGACGGAAGACAAACTTTGCAACGAAATATCTAACAATGGATTCGCGATGGAAATTTGTTCCGTCGTTTTCTTATGACGGAATATGAAATTTGCAGTGAAAATGCTAGCGACGGAATCACGACGACAATTATTTCTATCGTTATATTTCACAACGGCAATAGACGACGAAATATTTTTCACATGATGGCAATGGAAGGAGACATTTCCGTCGCCAACTTTGCAACGGAAAATTCCATTGCTGTTTTCCTTCACCACTTCTCACGACGGATTATTTCCGTAGCAAAATGAAATACGACAAGTCTGGAGACTACATAACGAATTTTGTCACAAAAATGTAAAATTCTATCGCAAAACGTGATTCGTGATGAAATTGCATGTTTTCGCGTGAATCATGATTTTTTTTTTTTTTTGTAGTGAAATAGCATGTGCATTTGGGATCCTCCAATCACGACCTGCAACAGTCAAAGGATCGATACATTTTTGTATTGCATGATATAACGTCATCATGCACCATAATGCACAATATGATCATTGAGGATGAACGTGATGATGAGCAAGCATATATACAAAGTTTGAGCGAAGCATCAGCTATTGAAGTTGATATATTTGCATTATAATTATATTTTATATTAAAATAATTAAATTATTAATATAAAATTTTAATTTATAAGAATACAAATTATTTTAGTAAAGGAATAAAATGTGTTGGAGATGAAAAAAATTTAGTGTAAGAATATGCTATGAATATTCTTTTTGAAATAAAATTTAGTGAGAATTTGATGTTTTCGATTGGAGATGACTTAAGGAGAAAAATTCTCTTTTTAAAAAAAAAATCGAGGGAAAGGGGAGGGATTGGTTGTTATATTGTGGACCATGGTCCGAAAACGGCAAGTAAAGAAACGACAGCCATTAACAAATCACGTATTTTTTGTGTGTTCATAACAAAATGAAACTACAATGTATCTAAAATGAAACTGACTCGCATAATGTGTTTATATTATCAAATGAAACGGTAATTGAATTTAAATGATATTTTAGTTGTGTTGAAATGAAACTACAGTATGTATAAAATGAAACTGAATAACATGTCTTACATATTGAGTGTATATTGTCAAATAGAAATGTAATTGAATAGAAATGATACTTTAGTTTTGTTGAAATGAAACTACAGTATGTATAAAAAGAAACGGAATAACATGTCTCACATATTGAATGTATATTGTCAAATGAAATTGCAGTTATATCGAAATGATATTGTAATTGTGTTCTAATGAAACTACAGTGTATATAAAATGAAATTGAATAACAGTTTCACATATTTGAGTGCGTATTGTCCAATGAAATCGTAGTTGAATTAGAATTCTTCCATATAATTTAGTGGTGTTGTAATAAGACTACAGTTTGTATAAAATGAAATTCAATAACATGTCTCACTGTAATAAGACTATTGTATGTATAATGTTGAATGAAACTATAGTTGAAATAAAATGAAATTGTAGTTGTGCTAAAATGAAACTACAATGTATATAAATTGAAACTAAATATGTTATACAAGTATAGCTAATTATGCGGAACGGGTGTCGTTTCTTTTTATGCTCCATGGTCCATGGTTTATAGTAAAATTTGTCGGGAGGGACCCATAAGGAAATCAATACCTTATGGTAAGAGCAATTCTTACCCGAGTGACACCCAATTTGTCAATTTCATCACTCTATATCCTCCCGTAGGAATAATTCTCACTCGAGTGGCATCAAATTCGTCAACTCTCATCTGATCTTGTCCCGGGGCATCAATCTTCTCTCTGCGTATGAGAAAAATTATCACTGATACTATGTAAATTAATGGTAACTTATATATTTTTTTAAAGAAATATATTTGGTGTGGATCTCAACACTCTATTATATCATGATGTACCAATGAATTTTATAACATATAAGGTATTACCGCATTAATTAGGCTATGCATATTATCAATAAACAAAGGAATTAAATTAATTAACGATACCCAATAAATGCATTGTAATTTGTAAATGACTGCGTCACAGTTTATACTTTATAGCAGGCAGATTTAATTTTGCATTTTCTTCTCCCAAATCAGTCGTTGCTTAACATAATCACCAATAGTATCCACCCACGTGTCTAAATACAGTTCTTTTTAGTCAACCGTGGGATTTGCATTTAGCATATAAAGCGGGATTCCTTCCGTGTTTCGAATGCCTTCTTCACTCCCGCTTCTATAAACCTCTCGGCCATGGCGTCAGCCACTCCCACCATGGCCAAACCCAAATCTTCTTCCTTTCCTCGAGATAAATCTTTCTTTCTGGCAATCTTTTTTGCTGTCTTTCTCGTTTGTGTCGTTTGGTCGTTCACCGACCCGTTTCCGAACTTCTCCGCCTTGCTCTCCGCGCAGAACTTCTCAGTCGACCGGGCCGCCGTCGATCGCGGCTATGAATCCCCGGAGAGGAGTTTTTACGATGACCCGGAGCTCAGTTACACAATAGATAAACCCGTGGTGGGGTGGGACAAGAAGAGGCGCGAGTGGCTGAAACTTCACCCGTCGTTCAGCGCCGGAGCAGGGCGGCGCGTGCTCGTCCTCAGCGGATCGCAGCCGACGCCGTGCAAGAACAGCCACGGCGATCACTTGCTCCTGAGGTTCTTCAAGAACAAAGTTGATTACTGCAGAATCCACGGCTACGATATCTTCTACAGCAATGCGTTCTTGAAACCGGACATGCGTTCTTTTTGGTCGAAGATTCCGGTGGCCCGGGCGGCGATGTTGGCCCACCCGGAAACGGAGTGGGTTTTGTGGGTCGACTCCGACGCCATCTTCACCGACATGGATTTCAAGATTCCGTTGGAGAGGTACAAGGATCATAACCTCGTAGTTCACGGCTGGCGCGATCAGATTGAGAAGAAGAGCTGGGTGGCGGTTAACGCCGGAATTTTTCTGATAAGGAATTGCCAGTGGTCGATGGAGTTTTTGGATGTTTGGGCGGCGATGGGCCCACAGAGTCCAGATTACAAAAAGTGGGGCCAGATCCAACGGTCGACGTTTAAGAACAAGATGTTCCCGGAATCGGACGATCAATCGGCGCTGGTTTATCTCCTACTGAAAGGGGAAAAGAAATGGAGGGACAGGATTTACGTGGAGAACGAGTACTCCCTGCATGGGTACTGGGTGGGAGTGGTGGGGCGGCTCCACAACATCACGGAGAGGTACGTGGAGATAGAGCGGAGGGAGGCGGCGCTGCGGCGGCGGCACGCGGAGGCGGTGAGCGAGAGCTACGCGGCGGCACGGGAGCCCCACGTGGCGGAGGGCGGGGATTGGAGAGGCGGGTGGAGGCGGCCCTTCATAACGCATTTCACGGGGTGTCAACCCTGCAGTGGGGACCACAACCCGGAGTATAAAGGGGAGTCTTGCCGGGTCGGGATGGAGAGAGCGTTGAATTTCGCTGACAATCAAGTCCTTCGAAATTTTGGATTTTCCCACTCTGACCTCGACACTTCATCCCCTCTTTTGCCCTTGCCCTACGCTTACCCTGCACAAAATGATTTCGAGGCTTTTGTTTGAACACAAAACATACAACCTATCCCTATCTATTATCCGAGTAGCAATTGAACTGTTCATTATTATCTGTACTATTAATTAATTATCTCATATCAGTTAAAAACAATTAGTGAATTTGACAAATTACATCTGTTATTCCATGTCAAATTGTAAATATGCTATGTACTCTTTCCGTTTTTGTTCAATAACATATATACTATTTTTCTACATATATCTTGTTATGTATATATAAAGACTCAAACTTTAATTTCCTGTTAATGAAGGAAATGTCTTACCTAGAACTTTTGTTATTATAGTTACAAAAAGTGATGTATGTATGAAGCATTTTTTTTATTAAAAAATCATTGTCATATAATCCAATTTGGAAAATATATAAAAATGGTTAAAAATTCATAATATGGAAGCTAGCCGCCCTAAGGTTTGAACCGAAAATTGGCAAAAATTGACAAAAACGTTTGGTGCAATGCGCCACTGATTAAGGAGAGTATCGTATTTTTAGTGGCTGTGTCTGCCCAGTCAAGTCAAGCAACGCAGGCTACTCGCAATTTTTTTTTTTTTTTTTTGGGGCTAATAATGTCAAAAGAAATCTTAATTTGATTTCATAACAAATATATCGGGGAAGTAATTACGAATAAAATAGTGTTCACATTTGTAGACGTTTCGTGACTTGTGGAGCTGAATGGATATGATAATGATGGAATACATAAAGTTTGGGTAAAACGCATGCATTTAAGGGACTTCGAATATGAAGAAAATGAAGCGTTGATTAAATGGTATAGTTAATTATTCTTTCCAACCGGCCGGACAGACTGAACATTAACCATATAGGCTAGATCTTTGGTTATACTTTGAGGAATTGTATCACATTGTGGCTGGCTCAACTGGTCAACATGAACTACAGAGGCTAGACCCCTGGTCATTCCCAACTTTCACCTCTATAACCAGTTGAACCCCAACTCCGTCCCGACAGAGCATCTGGGAGGATGTAAATCATGGTAACTCAACTGAACATGAACCACAGAGGCGAGACCTTTGCTCACTGTGCACAAGGAGCCCCCTCACTTTGAGATGTTGCTCCCACACTGCCGCTGGTGAGATTCGATTCCTGGTCATTTTTTTCAACTTTCATCTCTATGACCAGTTGAGCTGCCCATGCGGGCGGTATAGTTAATTATTCTCACAAAAAGTTGAATCCTCAATCTCCAAGGCCTCATACACCCCGACTCGACAAAGCATTTGAGAATATGTAAATCACGGTGACGTAATGGCTCTATGGACAGGGCTAATTGTCGGTGCGTATAAAAGATCTATCCACTTAATCTAATGAAAAATTTGTGATAGAATTGATATAATATTTAAATATAATATTAAAAAAATTCAAATTATTAATGAAAGACACAATTTGTATTTTGTATTATATAATATGACTTATCATAAGTGACAACATATTAAATAAAATAACATTTAAGTAATACAAAAGGTTTTAAAAACGAAAAACGTATAGAAAGGTGAAGGGTGAACGCAACCACCAAATTTGTCGTCAAAATCATTTCCGACAATTTAGCAACTAAATAAGTTTCGTGTCTAATGTTGAGATTTTAGGTACGGCACTGTTCATTGTTGGACCAACTTTATCCAATTCTGTAGGGCCCAAAATACCCATTTCTGGCCTGCTTACACAAGTTATAAGCAGTTTGGCCTAAATACAACATTTCTCAACCGATATGGCCCTTAATAACTACATTTGAGTTTACTTATAATATTCTGTCTGCATCAAATTCACCATTGTAAGTGATGGAGTGAGATTTTCTCGTCTTTTACCAACAAATGTTACTGGGATAGATAAATGGTTTAATGGACTGAGGAATGAAGTTGGGCCTCGGGTATGATATAGGCCTATCCCGGGATGCAAGAAGGCGGTAGAGTAATTATACAACCAACCAAGGTCTATCTTGCATTATAGATCATGGTCACAAAAATAATCATGAGATTCTGTATTTATAGTTGACACATTCTGTACCTGTAGTTGATGGTTTCTGTACCTGTAGCTATCATATTATGTGTCAAAAATTATCAAGGTAGATTCTTTATCTGTAGTTGACACATTTTGTACCTACAGTTGATAGTTTTTGTACCTATAGTTATCATATGTGTCAGTAATTATCAATTTATTTGTTTACATGTACATAAACTGTTAACTGTAGGTGCAAAATGTCTTAACCGAAGATACATAATTTTTGTATCAAGATTCACAATGCAATATGAACCCTAGTCCATGGTGTAACAATTTAGGAGAAGTTATACTATAATTTATACTAGTAATTCACCCGCGCGATGCACGGGGAATGTTATTATAAATATAAATAAAAAATTAGAAAAATAAAAATATTTTAAATTGTTTAATATAATAATATTTTTGAGTTTCCATTGGTCAAGTATTTATTATTTTTATTGAATACAAAATTATAATTAAAATTTTGTATGGTTAATATAATCTCTAATTATGTACATATTCAAATAAACTTATAGAGGGAATTTTCATAATTACATTGATTTATTCTTAATTGTATTTCATCTATATTATAATTTTCACATATGTAAGATTTGATAAATATTATACATTATTTGGCATTAATATTATACATTATTAGAATAAGGGTCAAATAAGCCATCGAACTGCACAAGATAATGCAATTAAGTCACTAAACCTAAAAAAAATATATAATTGAATCCTTAAACTAACCAATTTCATGCAATTTCTTCCAATTCGCAGGTTTCTAACAAGTCAACACAAATTTAAAATATTTTTTAAGAAATACTTTTTAAAAAATAATTATTTAATTTTTTTTTAAAAGTCTTTGTCTCCGGTTGGAGACGAAGAATCAGTCTTCATCTCCGGCCAGAGACGAAGAAACATTCTTCGTCTCCATGGCCGGAGACGAAGAAACCCATTGCCAAAGACGAAGAAGGTGGAAGTAGTTGGGTTTGGCGAATATCCACTATGAGATCCAATCATTTTAACGTACTTGGGTTTAAACGAAAAACGGCGGGTAAAGGCTAGGAACGCACGCTTATCGTAACGATTCCCACAGATAGCGCCAATGATTATTTTATTAGGATTGGGTCCACCATAAACCCGATATTGAAACACGAAATGACAATAGGAGAATAGTTTTTGTATAGCTAGAGACGTGCGGCCCAATAAAATAAATACAAAGCACAAGAGACCTGCCCAAAAAGTAATAAAAATGCTAAGAAACTAATAAATAAAATAGAACTAAATATGTTACCAAAACCCACCCTAGTATGTAAGCAGGATGGAGAAGACCAGACCACTTGACTAGAGGAGTATCTGTGTCTTTGAGGTGTGCCTTGTACGGACCATTCCCCCCCCCCCCTCCCCCTCTAATTTATACTGTTGGTAGCATCACTCAGACGACACGTGTATGGTGTTGAAAAAAAAAAACATAAAATGATATCTTAAGTGGCTATTTTGTGGTAGAATTATAAGTGGATCCACTTTCAATTTGGATCGGGTCAAATTGAATTCGGATTCTTCGTAATGAGACGAAGAGATTGATATATTGTACGCGCAAAACGGATAATGAGTGAATGAGATATTGATTCTCAAAGTAGACCCATTTGAGTTGGAAAAATGAAGGGAAAATGTTTTAAAGTAGCTATTGCCCTTTATCTGTTTGGAATTGCATCATTATTTATACAAGAGCTTTTCAAAGGCTTATTGAATTGTATAGCATAGAGGCTATCTTTCGCGCGTAGGGGGCGCAAATCAAATCACTGACTCATGTACGTCGGCACATGCGGGTCATGTAATGCCAAACTAGAGTCTTAATTTAGCGTTTACAGAATAAGGTTGGTGAAATAAAAATGGTCCTTTTTCCCCGTAGGATTATAATTATTATATTCCGTGTTATCCACCAACATATGTCATCCACAACTTTCAAATCTCAATCTGACACGCGTCCCACGTTGTCGATTCCCTCGTCGTCAACCACCTCAACGACCTTCCCCAATTGCAACACGGCACCATGCCCAAGCCCCTCGCGACAAGCTGCGAGGGGCACAACCAGATAAGCAGGGCGTGACAGAACGCTACTGGGCACTCCGAGGATGCCTCGACCCTGGGTGGCCGCCGCACCTGTCGCCACCTTGCACCCCTCTCTCTTGGGCCTCTATACCGCCTCTCTCCAGTCCTATTAAAATCAAACAAATAATGGGTGAAATCTCCATAACCCCATCAGATATTAAAACATTTTCAAATTATTAATGAAAGATGCCATTTGTATTTTGTATTATATAATATGTATGCCTTATGATAAGTGATAACATATTGCACAATGATTTGCTTAAATTAATTAAATAAAATAACATTTAAGTAATACAAACGTATTGTTAATGGACATTGTTTAAAGGGTGAACGCAACCACCAAATTTGTCGTGAAAAACGTTTCCGGCAATTTATAATCAGTTTCGTGTCTAATGTTGAGATTTTAGGCCAATTATTCCGAGAACATAATCTACATAATACAATATATATTTTTAATATACTAAATGGACATTACCTTTGTATTAAATTTACATTATTAAATAATATAAAAAAAAAATCATGTACTTTCAAATAATGTAATTTATGTATACAAATAATGTACTTTTAGTATATTAAAAATATAATTTTTATTTATTCAAAATGTTGTAGAACTCATCAAATAATTTGTATCTTCCACTATAAAATACCCCCAAAACGTTGGCAAATGGCAGGCAGCTAGCCATTATCATGCGAAGCACATTTCTCACTAAACTAACAGTGAAGCCTTAAATCATCAGTACGCAAAACAAAAATGTCTACAACCGTCACTGTCCTCACTGATACCTGCAGGAGCCGTAGGGCAAAGAGGTTTGAAGGTGATGCCAAAATCTTGGCGATAGGAACCGCAACTCCGGCGAATTGGGTTGACCAAACCACCTATCCTGACTTTTATTTCCGCATCACAAATAGCCAACACTTGCTGGAACATAAAGAAAAATTTAGACGCATCTGTATGTAAATACATCTCATCTGATATATATATGCACTACGTACTCACTGCATTATATTGCTCATTTCCATTTTTTTTTTTCCTTCAATTAAAAGCATTATATATATTGTTTATTTTTTGCAGGCAACAAGAGCAAAATTAAGAAACGTCACCTGGTTCTGAAGAAAAATCCCAACTTGTGCACATACAACGAAGCTTCCCTTAACACCAGGCAAGACATTTTGGTGTCGGAAGTTCCTAAGCTGGGCAAAGAAGCTGCCATGAAGGCCATAAAGGAATGGGGTCGCCCCATTTCTGAAATAACCCATTTAGTGTTCTGTACCTCCAGTGGCGTTGACATGCCCGGTGCAGATTTCCAACTCGCAAAGCTACTGGGCCTTAGCTCGTCCGTGAAACGCTTAATGATGTACCAGCAAGGTTGTAACGCCGGCGCCGCCATGCTACGGCTAGCCAAAGATCTGGCCGAGAACAATAAAGGTGGTCGCGTTCTGGTGGTGTGGTCGGAAGTGATGTTAAATGTATTTCGTGGGCCAAGTCTAGAACAAGAAGATAATCTTTTGGCGCAATGTTTATTCGGCGATGGCTCGGCCGCCGTGATTGTTGGGACAGAGCCGAGGCCCGGTCTTGAAACTCCATTGTTTGAGTTGGTCTCTGCCGCACAAACAACCATTCCCGACACTGATTCTCACCTTAAACTGCACTTGCGAGAGATGGGGCTTACATTCCATTGTAGCAAGGCTGTCCCTTCTCTCATTACCCAAAATGTGGAGGATTGTTTGGTGAAGGCGTTCGAGCCGTTTGGAATCTCGGATTGGAATTCAATTTTCTGGATTTTGCACCCTGGTGGCATTGCCATTCTGGATCGCGTGGAAGAGAAATTAGGGCTGGAGCCCGAGAAGTTGCGAGCGTCAAAGGACGTTCTTTCGGAGTATGGGAATTTAACAAGCGCATGTGTGTTGTTCATATTGGATGAGATGAGAAAGAAATCCAAGAAAGATGAACAGATGACTACTGGGGAGGGATTGGAATGGGGCGTGGTTTTCGTAGTGTGCCCATAAATTAGTACGGAATAATCTCTTCTCTAATCTCTTATCTCTTATTATAATACTAGTATTTTTTTATGCAAGATGTGCAAAAAATAAGTACACAATATTAATACATTATATTAAAATTTTAAATTTATTTAAATTTTAGATATTTAAATTATTCTAAATAATAATAATAATAATAATAATGTAAATTATTTTTATAAATTTGATATTTATATTTATGTAATAATTAACATATAACTCAAATACTTAATGTGTATATATTATTATTAATAAAGAAGATAAAAAAAATATATGGTGGATGCACGTGCATGATAACAATAGTGAAAAAGATATCGGAAGTTATAACAGTAGGGGTATGTTTGTCCAAAATATTTTAATGTACAATCTTTATAGCATAATGTTCAAAAAAAACTTAACGAAAAAAAAAATGAACATAAATCAAGGGTATAACATGTTACTTAAGATGTGACCTTTAAAATTGCTTTATTCTCCCAATAAATAAATAAATAAAAATAGAATTAAGCTGGTGGGACCCACTCACCCGTCATTGCAAAAATGAGAACCCAACTTTCTCTCTTTCATCCACCTCACTCAATTTACCGATCCTAAATCCTCAAACGAGAATGTTTAAGAGTATTTAAACCCTTGGATCATATTGTAATTATTACCACTTTTTTTGAATTGTTATTTCTTGTTGGTTGAAATCGTTTTTTTTTTTTTTTTGAAAAGTGTCAAATAGACTCATGTACTATTGTCAAGTGCTCAATTTTCACCATGAACTAAATTAAAGGTTAATTAACCACACTTACTTACTAAATTTGTTCAATTAACTTTTTTTTTTGCAGATAATTAACTTTTTTTTGCAGGTTACCAATTCAATTAGTAAAAAAATAATTTCAAAATTATTTAAAAAAAAAAAAAAAGAATACAACCACCGGTTGTCCTCGTCGGACAGCCACGGCTGTCTTTGAAATGGCAGCCACCGGCTGTCCGACAAGGACATCCGGTGGCTGTATTCTTTTATTTTATTTTATTTTTTATTTATTTATTTTAATAATTAAATAGGCAACATGTTATTAACCTGTAAAAAAAGTCAATTGAACAAATTTAACTTGTAGATGGACCTATTTGACACTTAATTTAGTTCGTGGTGAAAATTGAGCACTTCGCAGTAGTAGATAGGCCTATTTGACACTTGTGCCTTTTTTTTTTCTTTTTCCTGTGTGATAAGACCATCCACATTAGTTGAGGAGAATTGAAGGATAATGTAAAAGTGATTAGGAGAGAGAATGTGGGAAGGGGAGAAAAAAAAAAACAAAAAAACCAAAATAAAAAAACAAAAGCAAATATATATATATATATATATATATATATATATATATATATATATATATATATATATATATATATATATATATATATATATATATAAAGAACTGTCAGGCGCGCCTGACGCGCCGGTGTGGGCGGGCTGCTGTGGGCGAAATGCGCACAGCAGCCCCATGTTTCTTTTTTTTTTTCTTCCTCTTTTTCTGCCATTATTTCCTATTTTGCAGATGAATTCTTCCCTAATTAATTCTCCCCCACATTAGCTATAAACTTGAATGGAGTGAATTAATGCTGCATTCTCCCCACATTATCCACTAGTGTGGATGCTCTAAAACTATTAAAGAAGTTAAATTTCTGGTAGAGATTGTAATCATTAACTTACAATAGGAGTCTAATCCCTACCAACAAAAAAAAAAAAAAAAAAAAAAAAAAAACAATAGGAGTCTAATCTTAAGTTGTTTTCTTTTTATGGCTATATTTAATGTGATTGGTTTAAGAGTATTTATGTGTATTTAAAGCCCTTTTTGGAAACCGATTAGTATTACTTAGGCATCCTCAATAGTGAGGGTTTGGTGTAGTTTTTGAGAAGTTTTTAGAGGTGTGATTAGGAAAGAGAAAATGAGATGGAAGAGAAAAAGAAAAGAAAAGAAAAAAAAAAATCAGATTTTACAAAAGAAAAAAAAAAAAAGTATATTTACGCGCCCAGTATGCGTGAGGCGCAACTCTTTTTACCACCGTGGGACCAACTCCACTGCAAAATCATTGGTGCTTGCAGGACCAACTCTCACATTCTCTCTCCTCCCTTCTGTCTCTCTTCCAACAAGACATTGAAGCATGAAAATCTGTGCAAAATTCTCTTAATGGGGTTTCTCTTATGCCTATTTAGCTTCTTGGTTCTATGCACAGTGTGATGATTATTTGCGCTGCATGCATCCCATATATATATATATATATATATATATATATATATATATATATATATATACACACACACATACATTTAGAAGGCGACATTCACACTCTCCCCTGATACACATCAAAGGGAGAATATAATATTTATTCCATGATGAAGAGGTTAGTTTATAATTATATAAGAATTTTTAATGCCACAAATTTATTATTGTATTGTTATTATTTAAGATTTAGTTTCTTGATTATCAATATAAGGTACTTATATATGCTTACATCTCTAAGGAGCATGTACAAAAATGTATCATTAAGTTTAAGGAGGGTAAGGTATATGATATCAAAAACTTTCGGTGCCACGATTTTTTAGAAATACAAAACCGGCTCTCATATATATATCCTAAAATTTAAGCATGATACACTGGTTAAGTAGTACAAAAGTCTTGTTTTTCCTAATCAAGTCTTTGGTGTCAAATCTTTTTCCACATTGGTACTCAAAGGAAGATATTAATAAGAAGGTTTTGATAAGTATGTTATTTGAAAAACTTCTATTCCAATGTGGATGTATTTTTATAGTATTATTTCTAACCATTTTTCTTTTTAGATGTCATTGGAAGAGTAATTGAGATATATCCTCCCTTGGAGAGAATGATTGGTGGAAAAGTTGGTAGATTAATTGATTTTGGCCCTATTTGGTAAAATGATTGTTAGCTGATTGTGTTAATTAGAGAGTATAAATATTAATAACATTAGTTGATTGTAGAAAGTGTTTGGTAAATTAGTTGTTAGCTGATAGCTGTTTGGTATAATTTCTTTTCTCAAAAAGCTAATTGAAAAAGTTGCTTGGATTAACTTTTTGAATTTTAGCCTTTTGAAGTTGCAAAAAGCTGATTAATCAAACATTTATATTGATATTTTAACTAAATCAAACAATTAATAGTGATCAAATAAGCCAAAATTGACCGCAAATTATGCTGTGCAACCGAATGCACCTTGCAAGGTGCATACGGTTGCAAAACGGCGTCGTTTTGGTTAAAAAAACGTGCGTCCCACTTAAAGAAGAAATCAGGTTCGATTCCCGGCAATAAAATTTTTATATATCCAGAAATTCATAACTATATAACCACAATTTCATAACTATATATCCACAGTGAATGAATGAAGTAAAAATCCACAATGAATGAAGTAAAAATCCACAATGAATGAACTAAATATCCACAATATATGATTAAACTAAATATCCACAATGAATGAACTAAATATCCATAAATTCATAACTATATAACCACAATTTCATAACTATATATCCACAATTTCATAACTATATATCCACAGTGAATGAGTGAAGTAAAAATCCACAATAAATGAATGAATGAAGTAAAAATCCACAATGAATGAATGAATGAAGTAAAAATCCACAATGAATGAACTAAATATCCACAATATATGATTGAACTAAATATCCACAATGAATGAACTAAATATCCATAAATTCATAACTATATAACCACAATTTCATAACTATATATCCACAATTTCATAACTATATATCCACAATAATGCTATTGCTGAGAGTCGAACCTGATTTTTTTTTTTTAAAGTAGGACGCGCGTTTTTAATTAAAACGACGTCGTTTTGAACCGTATGCACCATGCGCATGGTACATTCAGTTGCAGAGCATAACTATTGAAAATTGACCTATAGGTCAATTTTTTTACCAAACAGGGCCTTTGTGATTGAAAATGCCAAGTAAATGCAATATTTTTATTTTTGTGTTTAGCAGTTTGGCCCACTGGGCTTCAAATCCTAAATACAACATTTCTCTGCCGATATGGTCCTCAATAACTACATTTGACTTTACTTGTAATATTCTGTCTGCATCAAATTCAACATTGTAAGTGATGGAGTGAGATTTTCTCGTATTTGACCCAAAAATGTTACTGGGCTAGATCAATGGTTTAATGGTATTTGACCCAGGGTGCAGGAAGGCAATTGTTATACAGTGGACCATGGTCCATAGTACTATGTGAATTATGATTGTCAAATGAAACTGTAGTAGAATTAAACTGATACTTTAGTGTTGTTAAAATGAAAATAGTGTGAAAAATGAAATTAAAAATCAGAGCTCATTTAACAATGTATATTGTCAAATGAAATTGTAATGTAATTAAAATGATATTTTAATGTTGTTAAAATGAAACTAGTGTGTGTGGAAAATGAAAATAAAATTCAGAGCCATACAATAATATATATTGTCAAATGAACGTGAAGTGTAATTACAATAATACTTTAGCATTATTATAATTAAATTAGTGTGTGCGGAAAATGAAACTACAAAATAGAACTCATACAATAATGTATATTGTCAAATGAAACTGTAGTAGAATTAAAATGATACTTTGGTATTGATATAATGAAACTAGTGTGTGTAGAAAATGAAACTGAAAAATAGAGCAATCTTATCATATGAAATTAAAGTGTAATTAGAATGATACTTACTTCATAGACCACACTACTACATGGACCATGATCCACAATAAAATTTGCCGCATGAAGGCGATGGAGTAATCTTACAATTGTTATACAGTGGATCATGGTTCACATAGTGTTGTGTGGACCATGACTGTCAAATAAAAATGTATAAAATGATACGTTAGTGTTGCTATAATGAAACTAGTATATGTGAAAAATAAAACTAAAAAACAGAGCTCATTCAAAAACGTATAATGTCAAATGAGAGTGTATTATAATTAAAATGATACTTTAGTGTTGTTATAATGAAACTAATGTGTGTAGAAAATGAAACAAAAATCCAGAGCCATATAATAACATAGTCAAATGAACTTTGAGTGTAATTAAAATAATACTTTAGCATTACTACTTTATAATGTATATTGCCAAATGAAATTGTAGAAGAATTAAAATGATCATTTGGTATTGCTATAATAAAACTAGTGTGTGTGAAAAATGAAACTAAAAACAGAGCAATATTGTCAAATGAAACTTATCAACCTTATGTATTGTGAGATTCCCTTGCCATTTTACATTCTTTGCCATTGAAATTTTAACATCTACACACGACATTCTCTTGTGTTGTTAAGTTTTTACTTACTTTATTCAACACATTCTTTGTCCTATATAAAGGTGAAAGCTTTACTATAAAATTTTCATAGATTATTAACCTTATTTTATTATTTTATTTTTTTATGAAAGAGGACTAGATAAGGGAAAACATAAATTTAGAAAAAAAAGAATATTATATGGTAGCATTTGGCATTTTTTTTTCATGTTTGCATGGTGATTTGTAATTTGAGAGTATTAAGATGAAATAACCCATTATAACATAAATAACAACTCATAAACTAAACATGTTTATATTACACACCCCTGTTTTTACTAAACACAAGAATCTAACATTCACAGTAATCTAACATTTCCAACAATTTAACATTCCTGAAAAATATTTTTAAAACTTTATATTTAAAAAAATATGTTAAAATGTCGTTATAGTCTGAATCAAAATTATAATAAATTCCAAAATGTATTCAACCCAATTATGTTGCACGCAACGTTTGGAAATAGGGAAGCATGCCAAAACCCAATGGAAGATGACCAAACACCAAAACAGCTCAGGGGTAGTGACAACTAATAATACTATTAGAGAGAAATATATATATTGTTACAAGAGAAACTTACAATTACTATTTAGGGTACTAGATAAATATCGTTTTTATGTAATAGTGTGTAAACTATAAGGAGAGATAAATCACACTAGAATTACTAACGAACTACGAATTATGCCCGCTGACCAGTGAAGCGGTGACTGATACGGTGTTCCGTGTTTGAAATTGTCTAATTTTTTACATGGGAGCAGCTGCCCACATGCCAGCTCCATCTTTGACTAGGAAGGCATGCTCGGTCGATAGAAGGTTAATATAACGATATTTGACTCAATCATTTGTATTGATTGTGGACTCAATCATTTGCATTGGCTCAATAATAAGTATCAATTGACTATATGATATACAGTTATTTTATTCATTAAATTAAACTAATTTTTATGGACTTTCATAAATTATACTTTCCGCTAGTGCATTTGAGTGCTGAGTGTCCTATGTGAATCTGACTGTTAAAGAAAAATCAGTGATGGGCAGATATAGTAATTAATCGTTAGATTTAACAAAATTAAAATGAGACAAAATTAGTAACCAACGGCTGAATTTAAAGTTCTTATTAAATATATAAAGATAAAATATAGTCAAGTTGATAACCAATAAATATGTAAATATTAAATGATATTATAGTTGAATATTGAATGGGAATTTACTTGCTAAAAGTGGAATTATATCAACTAGTTAAAACTGCACTATCTGAATTATTAACACGAATTATGAAGCTGATGTCAGCACGCAGTAAAAAAGTCTATTACGGAACAATTATATCTGTCATTTGATCACAATTGATGTAATTATTGACTTTTTTTTTTCTTATCTTTAAAAAATTTAGGATATGATGAAATTGAGTAGTTAACAGCGTAACGTATATATATTCTTTTACAACTATTTGGGGTGTTTGGTTCGCACATGTAATCAGAAACGAATTTAAATTAAATAC